CACAAATTAGAAGTTTCTTCAGCCGTATCAGTACTTGAAATTTTGAAAATTTCAATCTTCAAACTCCGACACTACAGCGATATACCTGAAACAATGAATTCCACCAGCCGATTGCAGTTTAATCTGATTGGCCAGCGTGAGGAGGCTTGTTTATTTTACCCAATAGATGCAAATGTGCGTGGTTATCATACTTTGATCATACATATTTCATTGTTTCGGTTGCTTTGTTTGTTGAAAGGATATAGTTTAGTGGATTACATTTGGATTAGGTCCCTATAAATACCACGAAAATGCATGAATTACTTTACGTCATGGAAGTTCAGAAGTAAATTTTTTTCACTTTACTTTCTGATAAATACATTAAGAAAGTGCTTTTTGTAATATTCACAAACTAGGGTACGTACCCAGCGTTGTCCTTTTTGAGTTGAGAAGTATTTTTTTCAAGAAACTCTAATAGCTTCCCTAACTTCATGTAGGTTTCTTCCTCTCTTCGTTTCATGTAGTAAATTATTCACATAGGTATATTATAAATTTATTATCGAAATCAATATGAGTAAATGCCATTCCCATATTCTCAATTCAAGAGGGTAACAGGACAACAAATATTTAATGGCAAAAATGTCATGTGAATGAAAAAAAAATCTTACACTATTACCACTTTTTTTTGTCAAAACATGAAACAAACGTGTAGCAAAACGCGTTATAAATAAAATTCATTGTGAGAATTTCATAATTATCATCATAGATAAATATCATTTCAGAATTTTACTTATTTCTCTATCAGAAGTTATGATTAGAAATGGCAAAATATGAACATATAATAAATATACTTTCAGAACAAGTAATGAAGAAGAGTTGAAATGGATTGTTTCATATCAAATATTTTTTGAAAGATCAGTCCAAATTACCGCACATACCTATATGGATATTATCGGATCAATATATTGCCGTGAGCACAATGAATATTTTTTTCTGAAACTTACTGATATAATTCACTGTACGATTTTTATCAAGTATCTGCTAGTTCTATTGAATTTTCATACAACAAGTCAAACAAAGAATTTTATTTGATATTTCAGAATGGAACAATATTTTTGTATAAAATAATATGTTCAGTGAACATTCGAAATTTTCAACTTACCAAAAGCAAAAACTATAGTAGGCAAGGAAATGGTATCCTTCGGTATGAATCGCTTTTGCACTATATAAACATTTGACACAACCACAAGTAACACCTCGTTACAGCACGGTCCGCGAATGTATCGTACTTTTTGGCCTGAAATTTTCGATTTGAGTTGAGCGCGAACTACGATGACGTTAATGGCGTGGGGAATGAAGAATTTACCTTGAACACGTCGTCGTTTGCTGATGAGTCGACCGTTGACTTACCCTCTCCATCAAATTGTGGTTCTAAGTGGCAAAAAATACTAGGAAACCAAATGAATTGCCCAATATTGATTTGTTGGAAATGTGTAGAGTGATTATTAAAAACATCGATGGAGTGCAAAGGAGAAATTGTTCTTTTCCTAATTTTAATGTACAGAGTGCTCCTGAATATTATGTGAATATAAGATGGGTGCTGTATTATGGATTTTTCTAAGAGACAGTTCTCTTTATTCTGAAAGATTTCGTTTTCAATATAACAGTGCGTTCAACTTTAAATATATATTTTTTAAGGACAAACCACAAGTACAGGAAAATCCTTAAGACGGTACCACTGCGAAAGTAGTGATTCACATTGGATTTGGAACGCTAGATATTAAATCCATTTGGAAAAACGTTCTCAGGAAGTTTATTCCACATAAACCAAGTTCTCCAGATGAAAGAGTTCTTAAACAGTGAAGTTCGAGGTGTACTGAGTTGAACCTCAAAACGATGATATTTTTATTATATATACGCCTCGTATATTTCTGAAGCTATCAGGTCAAACTTGACTCATAAACATCAATGTCCTGACTCTTTCGAACCTTCCGATTCATTTTACGACGTCACTGACTGACAAAAAACGAGTTGTTTATTCTGTGTTTAAAGATTATCGTTTCTTATATTGCTATATTTTTCATCGTTTGAGAGTTATTTGGGGTGATTTCAAATGTAGAAAAGATGTATTCACATTAAAACNTGAATTATACGAAAAACAATTTTCTCTATTCCGTTTGTATTTGAAACATCCGTAATAAGAGAATCAATTCAGATATCATTCACAGGATTTTTACACAACACGGCGAAACATCGAATGTCTAGCAGTGAGGATGACAGTGTTCCATGTAAGTGAAATTTTACTTATTTCATTAATTATATTGTGTAGAAAAATGGATGAAAATCTACTAAAACCCCAAACTTTGACAACAGATGAAACAGTTTATCACAAAGAATAAACGCGTGACAAATTAGCTCCTCGTTCTACTAGCGTTCAACCCATCCGTCGCTCAAACACATAATAAAATTGGAATAGAAACTTTGAAAGATTGGAAGCACAATTTGAAGTAACCCAAAATATTATTTTATTTTTATTTATCTTTTTAGATGGAGTTATCACTCGTACTTTCACCTCTTCTGTTAATCAATCCAATAAGAGGACCTGTTTACAAGTCAACTAATCCCATACTACCTAAAGAAATGAAATGAAGGCTCTTCGTATAATACGTATGTTGTACTGTATTTTGTTGATGCATGTTTAGTTTTAGGGGATGCACAAACTTTTATCAGGAATANATAAAGGAAATCGCCATCCGTAGACAGTCTCAAATAATCTTTCGTCTTGCAGGTATCTTCCGAACTCCTTTTAAAGGTTTATGAATTGTGCGTAATTTTTGCTTCTTCGATTTATTCAACAAACAAAGTTTCGGACAAAAACTTCATTAATGTACGGAGCTGCTTTTTGGTGATGAAACTCTCCATTTAACGTTTTTGAGGTTAATGTCATAGTAGGTATCACTGATTTTAAATTCAAATGAACTGTTTTGTCTTCATTGTTGAAATCTTCAATTGTTTTCAACACTATATCAAGCAGAAAATGGATTCAAGAAATAAATTATTATTGGCTTAAATGCCGCAAAATGAACCAAGTGAGTATGCATTGCAGAATGATTTTGATATAATAGTTTAATTTTGTGATCAATTTTGTAGAAGTTGCATTATAGATGATGCAGAATGTTGTCCGACTTTAAAGAGAATGGCAAATACTTTCAAAATAAAAGTAAAAATATGCTCATTTTTATTTTCAAACAGCAGTACAACTTTTTATTTAGTTAGGATCGAAGGAATTTACCATACGTATAACTACTATGAAACAATTACAAAAACTGGACATGAATAAAGTATTTTAATAGGTATATATATTTCACACCAAATTTTGGGAGATTTCAATAGGAATTCAAGAAAAATATTTTTAAATTTCATATAATTAAAATGAATAAAAGCAAATTATACTTTATATAACTCATTTCTGTCAGAGTAGAGAGATTTTTTTCTCTTTTTAGTTTAAGTTGGAGTGTTTGCAGCAGTAATACATTGCACCAACTGCATTGGAAAATGTGAATTGAAAAACGATACTCTGCTGTACAGATCTAGCAGAAAGCGAAAAGTTAAAGTAGGTATTGAAGAAAACAACCAAAATTATCATTTGCAATTCAACACAAATTTCTTGATAAATCACCTTTTTGAAATGCGGAAAATGGAACCAACGTAGAAAAACTACGAAAACGTGTATCAAGAGAAAAGTTTCGTTTGAATAAATATTCTGCACACTGTCTTCACCAACTGTGTATTGGTACTTGAAATATATATTTATATCTGATAAATTAAAAAAATACACAGCCAAGCAGTGGTATTCATAACGCACTGTACTCAACCAATTGTAGACCTTCTAACAATCGGATATGGTGGTTCCGGGTTCGATATTTTTTTATAATCATGTTCCCACCCAGCGAAAACATTCAATACCACGAAATACACCAAACTTCTCAATACATTTGGTCAAATTGAATTTAGAGAAACTACATATGATCTTTCTCAAAGTTATTCATCCAGACCGGCAAGAGATATTTGGTATAAACTCAGCTTCAAGTAATATTTGCTTTCTGGAGTAATTATTCGATCGACATTTCAGAACTCAAAATGCTTCAAGTCGTGAAGAAATCATTAGTCTACAGATGATACATCAATTATTCACATTATCGAAAATTATGAATGTTTCAGGTGTCAAGCTTGAAAAGATCTTCAGCGAACTACTAACAATACAACCAATATAAATATAATGAAATATATACTTTTTTCATATTAACCCGAATTTTATTTAAAAAAATAAGATATGATGAAACTAGACTCACTGTAGAATAATAACCTGACAAAGTGAATTACCTACTTATTTCCATTTGAGATAAAAACATTGCATAAATAGCGTTGCCAAAATATTTAGATCTCTCTTTATGAATATGTAAAACAGAAAATCTTCGGAACAGCTCCGATTTTGGGATTTTTATCAATTTTTATTTCAATATATTATTCGAATTCAGATACCTTGTGGAAGTGACATAAATATGTAAATTGTTCAAATAATTATGTTTACATGAAAAATTCAGTTTTGCATGGGTTTCTGGAGAAAAATATTGTATGTTAATTAGCATTGTAACAGTATATTAGATATTCACATAAAAAACATCGCACCAATGTATGTGATGGATATAATAAAGATGGAATTTATATGCCTGAGAGAAATCATAGGTATAGGTATGTATGTATGTTGATAGATGTAGCCGTTACTACGTGGTAGGAGATCATTATGAAAAATGAGAAATAAAACTTTCTGTTTCTTAACACTTTTATTTCTGACTAACGTTATTACACTTTCGTCCTATAAGGACATCTTCAAATTAATACAATAATAAAGTTCATTATATTAATTTGAAAAAACATAGAAAGTTTTATTTCACTTTTTCATATGAAATTTTAAGTAGTTATCTTTTCATTTTCATCAACCTCATTCTGTAGGAGGTATCAGAAGATATTTTTTTATTGTTGAACTTCCAAATGAACTTTTTCAATATGTTATTTCGCTGAGCTTTCTGTCGGAGATAACAATCAGAGTTGTATGGTGTTTTCAGAGATGTACAAATTTGATGACAATTCAATTGTAAGANAGTTCTATTGAATTTTCATACAACAAGTCAAACAAAGAATTTTATTTGATATTTCAGAATGGAACAATATTTTTGTATAAAATAATATGTTCAGTGAACATTCAAAATTTTCAACTTACCAAAAGCAAAAACTATAGTAGGCAAGGAAATGTATCCTTCGGTATGAATCGCTTTCGCACTATATAAACATTTGACACAACCACAAGTAACACCTCGTTACAGCACGGTCCGCGAATGTATCGTACTTTTTGGCCTGAAATTTTCGATTTGAGTTGAGCGCGAACTACGATGACGTTAATGGCGTGGGGAATGAAGAATTTACCTTGAACACGTCGTCGTTTGCTGATGAGTCGACCGTTGACTTACCCTCTCCATCAAATTGTGGTTCTAAGTGGCAAAAAATACTAGGAAACCAAATGAATTGCCCAATATTGATTTGTTGGAAATGTGTAGAGTGATTATTAAAAACATCGATGGAGTGCAAAGGAGAAATTGTTCTTTTCCTAATTTTAATGTACAGAGTGCTCCTGAATATTATGTGAATATAAGATGGGTGCTGTATTATGGATTTTTCTAAGAGACAGTTCTCTTTATTCTGAAAGATTTCGTTTTCAATATAACAGTGCGTTCAACTTTAAATATATTTTTTTAAGGACAAACCACAAGTACAGGAAAATCCTCAAGACGGTACCAGTGCGAAAGTAGTGATTCACATTGGATTTGGAACGCTAGATATTAAATCCATTTGGAAAAACGTTCTCAGGAAGTTTATTCCACATAAACCAAGTTCTCTAGATGAAAGAGTTCTTAAACAGTGAAGTTCGAGGTGTACTGAGTTGAACCTCAAAACGATGAGCAGCCACAGTCCGTCGCGTAATTCTGATATTTTTATTATATATACGCCTCGTATATTTCTGAAGCTATCAGGTCAAACTTGACCCATAAACATCAATGTCCTAACTCTTTCGAACCTTCCGATTCATTTTACGACGTCACTGACTGACAAAAAACGAGTTGTTTATTCTGTGTTTAAAGATTATCGTTTCTTATATTGCTATATTTTTCATCGTTTGAGAGTTATTTGGGGTGATTTCAAATGTAGAAAAGATGTATTCACATTAAAACCCGTTTGGTTAAAGTGTTAATCAGATAACCATTACTCAGAAGTTAACTTAGAATTAAAATTGAAATTGTTT